CAGCTTGAAAGAGCATCACAAAATTAGTAATATTCCGATGTTTCGTTGCGAAATGTTGTAAAATGCGGATAATATAGCCTTGCGAAGTTTGCTGTTTTCAGTCATTTTGCATCACAAACGGGAAATTGATAATCAGATGATAAAACTGATTATCAATTTCCCATTTGTAATACAAAATGATCGAAAAACGGCAAACTTAGCAAGGCTATATTTATGAGCAGAACTGATGCGCAGAACGGACTTTACAACATCTTTAAGCGCATGGACGTCTGAAAATGGTGAAAGAAAGCATTTATGTCTCACGCTTACGTAGTAATATTATTATTAACTGTGATGATTAGTAAGATTTATGGTAGAATTTTTAGTGGTTCTAACATGAAGTAGCCGATTGTAAACAAAAATTATTGCAAGCTCAGCAATTTTTCAAATTCCAATATGGCCGCCGTTGTTTGTGAACAGAGGTGCACAAAATGTCGATTTTTGTCTTAATGTGCACATCTCCGATTTGACATACATCTGGAAATTAATCATCTATACTTCAGGTACGTATCTTAAAGAAACCAGCTGGTTCCTCGATATGCGCATACCCATTTACTTTTTCGATGACTTTTTGGCGGTCGGCCCATGGTCCAGGTTGGAAAACTTGCACTCACTCGCAGCTACACAACAATTTAAAGCTACATCTCGCACCTTAAATTTGCTTTGCTCGCACTTACCACCCGATGCGCCTGACGCTCGCGTGCCCGATTGCAGTGAAACAATTAGTATTCTGAGAGATATTTTCCAGACGATTGCATGCTACACCATACTCTTTAAGATTACCCCAAAACATCTCGCAAAGGCATTCTTTAAAACGATGATACAAGGCATCTGAATAGCTCAAATCAAGGTAATGCAATTCATCTTTATTTTTTTTGTACATGTGGAAGCGAGATTATATATCTAAACCATAGTTCGAAATCCTTTCTTCCCATCGCAAGATAGCTGCTTTTGTCTTTAATACAGGATATTGCATTGTGGTTTTCAGAGTCAGGGCGCGTCGTTCCTTCACGACCAAGCAGCAGCTTCTCGAAGTCAAAGCATTTAGCTAGCAGTCTCGAAACTTCTGCTGTGCCATTGTCTAATCTGTTTGTGACGAAGCTTTTAAATCTATAGCAAACTTTTTCAATTCCTTCATCGACTGTTCTAATGATCTTTCAATCCAGGTATACATTGCTTCTTCGCCATAATCCGGATGCACCATCCTATCATTGCTCAGCAAATGCCATCCCTCGAAAAGCTGAACTTCTTCAAACAAATATAGTTCTTAAGGTCTTGTACTATTGTTCCCAGTAAACTGCGAAACGACCGTTTTTTTAGGCGCTTTGTCAGTGACAGTTTTGTCAATTACGAAGGACATGTTTGTGTACCTCGTGATCACAATTCGTTGCAAGCGGCGTGTGAAAAACTGCAAGTTTCAGTTTGACAGTTCTGACAGTTAAATGGTTTCTAATTTTATTGTCCAATCAGGTGCGTAGTTTTGATTTAAAATTCAAAACTACGCATCTGATTGGACAATAAAATTAGAAACTCATGTAACTGTCAAACTGAAACTTGCAGTTTTTCACATGACGCTTGCAACGAATTGTGATCACGAGGTACACAAACATGTCCTTCGTAATTGACAAAACTGTCACTGACAAAGCGCCTAAAAAAACGATCGTTTCGCAGTTTACTGGGAACAATAGTAGATGTTTCTTGTACCGTGGTGTACAGGTTAGATTATCTACCATTGTCCCCATTCAGGAAATCATTCGTTGACCCCAGAATACAATTTTCCAATGAAGAAAGTCCACACTTTGCGACAACACCATTAACTCGCATAACGGTGTTGTGATGTCTAACAAGCCAAGTAGATCCACGACAAAATTTTGTCCGAACATCCTGTACTGTAATGGGAAGTCTTCATCTGCATTATAATGAGTAGCTTGAAATGATTTTCTTAGGACTGGGAATGCTTTTTCCATTGATTTCCATTGGCCAACTGCAGAGCTTAAGAAACGTTGAGCGGCAAACAAGACAATAACAGATACTCGTTTTGAACTGTTTTTTTCCACTCAGTTCAAGTTGCGCGAAGCCTTTTCCTGTTCCCATCATGTGATTGAACTCATTTGCTCTCTTGATAAAATTGGTAAAGAATTGTTGACTTTCTCCAAACTTTCCTTCTTTTATGTCAGTTGCTGCTAAATTCAACAGATGAGTTGCATCCCAAATTACTGCCTGGAAAAACCGCAATTCCTCGGGAATTCTATGTCGTCCCGTCTCTTCCTGTATGGTAAAACCAAACTCGTAGGCTTGATATGGACCATCAGCGGACGTACCACATACCGAATTTTTTCTACCGACTACAGTTCTACTCTTAAGTTTAATAAAATGCATATTTAATTTAAACAAAAGCCTAATCGGATTTGGGCCATTTGGCTTGACTTGAGAACGATCGCAGCTTGTTTCGGATTGTAAGTCACTCGCAGCTCGCATCTGACTATTGGTTCACTCGCAGCTGATCAATTTTATACTCTCGCAGCTACGCGTAGGGAATTTGATACAAGTTTTCCAACCTGCCCATGGTCTATCTGTAAATAGTTAGTTTGCTCTGAAATATTGCTTTTCACATTGTTATAATCGTTTACAAAAAAATTACAGTACCCCAAAAATGGCGGCGTGAGAAAGGCTAATTGGATGGGACGTACGTCGTCGAAAGATGTGGCAGGTTTTGTCGGATAATTAACACACATTCACACGAAATTCCATCAAGTAAAATTCGGACTGAAATTCAATGTAACTTGCAACTGATTGACAAGCGTTGCTGTGTTTATTGACATGTTAATGCATTTTTTAGTATTACTGCATTCCTTAACCTCGCCAGGCTTTTAGCCAGAAGGGCGTCCAGGGACGCCCCTAAAACAAAAAATGGGCGCCTTTGGACGCCCAAATTCTGGGGAAAAGAGAAATTATTTTCAATGATTTCCTAAGAATATTAAAATTAATATATCTGAAACGAAATAGCTTCAATTCTCATTATTTTTATACATTTGACATTTTGATCAATTTGATGGTGTACCTGGCTGAATGAAATGTCGTAGTTAAGTAAAGAAGCATAGCGGCACAAACTCACAAAGCCAAGTGTGTTTGAAAAATTTCGAACGAGCTTGGAACAGATACTGACATGAAGTCACGTAAACTTCAAAGGTTTTCCAGAGGAACGTTTTCTCGAACCCCCCCCCCCCTTATTGTAGATGTATCATTGTACCAAAATTAGATGCCCTCTTTTAGGACCCTGGCTAAAAGCCTGAACCTCGCCCTTAATATGACAGCCATTTCTATTTTCTAGACACACACCTCGCAAGGAAGCTTTATTGACTATACTAAAACACATTATTTTGAGTTCAGTTCACATAGCAGTCTCTTAAGGTTACTCCACATGATGGAAACCCATTTCACCAAAATGCTCACCGCGCGCTCAATTTTCAAGTTTTCCCCTTCAAGTTTTGCATGCATAATGATAAATCGTTACTGTAGCTAATGAAGATTGAATAAACATAGATATGTATAGCCACAGCTTTAGAAGCGTTTGGCAATATTTTATCGGCGAGTTGTGTTGAAATTTAGGTCTTGCCCTTGTAAGTTTGCCCAGCGGCACAGCAGCCCATCTTTGTATACTTAGTAAAGGGTAATATTAGATGATATACAATATAGGCCGGGTTCAACAAAATGGCCTGAAAATCGACGAAAGTGAAGTGACACAGTAAACAAGTCAGTGCGTATTTAGGCATTATTTTTTTTAAAAATATTTTACAATACCAAATATAAAGGGTATATTACATTAGGGATGAGCCAATTAATCGGTAAATAATCGGTAAAGCCGATTAATCGGCCATTTTTTAAATGATCGGTTAATCAGCCGATTATCATCTGATAATCGGCCATAAGACTTTTTCTGCAGCTGCCAAGCACATGCCTAAAATACTGAATACAAGCGAATATATTTTCACATTTTGTTGCAAAACCTGAGTCTTTTGTCTCAAAACCTGCGTCTTTGAGGAAGTCATTAAAAACAGTTGAAACACCTATGCGTTGAGTCATACCACATTGTGTTTTCTGATTGGCTTAAACGAATACTGATATTTGAAATAAAATGCATTGGGGAAAATTGTTTGATATTTTGGAAGATGACAACACAAAAGCATTGTGTAAACTGTAAAGTTTACCAGGAAAAAAGCTCTCGAATCGTAATCATCAGTGGAGGAAAAACATGCAAACAGTTCACCATGACAAACCTTTTCCACTGAAAAACGCAGCAGACTAGCTCCGCATAAAGCTGACAATATCCTGTTTTTACACCATAATCTGCGAGATTGAAGCTGATTTTAATTGTACATAGTAGTGTGTATTGTAAACAATAAAAGAAGAAGTAGTGTGTATTGTAAACAATAGAAGACCTGTCGTGCACCATGAAAACACAAGCGCGGTTGAAGGTCACACATCCGGTATGGAGTATCACATCAAGCCACATATTGTCAATTACAATTACAACTTTCATGGCAAAAGAATAAGTGGTTATAGCATTTTTTGTTATATTTCGGACGCATTTTAATATTTTGGAAAAAAACTTGCGGCAAAGGAGAGATCTCCAGCCCCTGAATATAAATCAATAAAAATGTAAAAAATGATGAAATCAGTGTTTTCATCATATAATGTAACCTTAATTTGAGCAACAGTTTAATATAACTATTATTTTTAACACTTGAATAATTCAAGCTTAATATATGAACGAAAACTGCAAAACTTTACTTTTATATAAATAAAACGTGTCAATTTCCGACTCATTCTCAACATGCAGGATACGATGTTACAGTGAGTTAGTTTTTGGTGGCCATGCATGCAAAAGTGGGCCACTTATTTTGCTTACGAGTTACGTGGACATATAAATATTGCTGTTACATAAACGCTCCGTTTTTTAAGAGCTATAGCCGATAAAAATTGTGTGCTCATTATAATCGCTGATCACATAGCTTTATCACAGTCCCAAACCTTCGGACAAATTAATATGCGTATTTCCTCTCCCCTCCCCTTCGGACATCCTAAGACATTTTCCCTCCCTCTTTCTTCAGACAGCAAAAATTTCCTCCGTGGGGGGGGGGGTATGGATCTTTTCTGGAACGACCTATTTGGATGGGACAGGATATAATACTTATGGTACCAGTCACCAGTATCCAGAAGTGGGATACTGGATTCTCAGGGGGGATACTAATCTTTGAATCCTGGTATCCCAGTTGGATACTGAGAAAAAATATAAATTTCAGACCCTAGTTCAAAGTCTAGGACACAAATTTTCATTATTTATAAAATTTCTTTATTTGCTCAAAGATTCAGATACAGAGTATTTTGCAATTTTTCAAGGAAAATACCGTAAGAAAAATAAGCTAATACCACCATACCGTAAATCCCAATGTCCCCCTCTATTAGAATACAGTCCAAAAATATTTGAAAAGTAATGCCGGGTTGTTTTCATTATTATTAAAGACCATGTAAAGTCCGTTCTGCGCATACGTTCTGCGCAGGCTTACATTCCAATGGTCGGGACCCGACCGTTGGAATGTTATTAATATTTCGTATCTTTTGAACTTTCTTGAATTGAATCTCTAGTCTGTATTCATTTACAAGCATAGCGAACCAGAAGAGTGTTAAAAATTCACTATAATATATATCTAATCATATTTTACAACTGTAGCACTGAGTTCAAAATGTAAACAAAGCGTTTGTTTACATTACGGACTTTACATGGTCTTTAAGCAATTTTGAATAGAACATATTTTTTGGTGTATAAAAATGCAATTTTAAATGGTACCTGCCACAAAAGGTCAATCTTTGCAGATTATGTATGACATTTTATAGAACTTGCAGAAAATACAGACTACAGACTCCCTTTCAATGTAAGTCAATGGTTTTCCCAACAATGTTTTATATACTCACCTGTGCATCTTTAGATGCGCATCTTGTGATTATATTCAGACAGATGTTTGTATTACGATATTGGAAATCTTGCGGTACACAGTATTTGCAATTTTGGACTCAAAAACTGTGGTTATTGACAAAATTTGCTTGCGATGTTACAGTATTGAATACCCCCCAATATACCCCTCCTAATACTTATATTTTTATGGCCTAAAGATGTCTCATTTCAAATTTCGCCATCGACACGATGGACAGGAATAGGTTGTCAGCAGTCAGTGCATGCATAGGTCAGAATGACAATTGGTGTAAATGAGCCAATACAGTATTGCCTCGAGTATGGAAGTGTGCAACAGATTTTGGTATAAATTTAATATTCCACGTTCAATTTGTAAAATTTACAAAACGACCACAAATCCAAATGCAACCATGTTTTAGAAATTTTCAATTTTAAATGTATCGATGTATATATTGCCAATAGTTTGATTTTAGGCGGGAGAATGTAGGAACTGACAAACCGGGAACACCCGTCGTAGCAACAATGATGTACTCGGCTATTCGACCCTATTCGCTAGATGCTATTGAAAATACATTTTCCACAAAAGTATTCTTCCACGCTACTACAAATATGAACCCTCACAAGCAAATACACAACTTTACCTATGTCACACGAGAGAAAATTGAAGCGAAAAACCTTTCTTGATGAGAGAAAGATCGGTATACTTTAACCCATATAAATCTGTGGCAGTTTGGCGTCCATTAAACAGCAATCTATATTCACTTTATTTACAGCGATTTCAATCAAATATTACAAACTTACCCTCTCCTCTGAACCTGACCTCTCTCCTCTGTCGCTCATGATTGGAAAAAGTATATAAAAAGACTGAAAATACGAAGAAAATTTTATTAAAAATTCGAGGCGAAGCTTTTCGTTTCTCAGTATAAATTCTCACGAGGCCAATAGGAATTACCCACAATTCTTTGCAAATTGCAATTAAATAATTAAATGCATGTGGTACCCAGACTCCTGATCCAAAATCCGCGCTCAAATTTAATTAAAGTTCGTTTTCAGGGTGGGGGTTGGTGGGGGTAGGTTGGGTAGGGTTGGATAAGGTGGAAAGGTTTAGGGTGAGTTTGAGGTTTGTTATAAATGCCCGGATGTTTATTCTTTCACTTTTTCACGATCTTGAAAACAAGCAACAATCTTTCAGTCCCTCGCGTAGTCTCGTAATCCTTTTTAGCAATTATTAAACGACCGTTAGAAATTCACTGACCAGGAGCAAGCGAAGAGTGACTGTCGGAAGATCTAGAATAGAGCCAGGGCTTCGCGGCTGCCAGATAACTTCTCTCCGTGAATATCTTCGTGTTTATGCCAGTGACCCTCTCCTCCACAGAGCTTTACGAATTTGTAGTCAAAATTACGTAATATTACTGAACAATTACTAAACGTTACCTTGGAATAAACCAACCTCGTTCCCAGGGCTTTTCCCTTTTTAATAAACTGCCTATTTTTTGCGAGCATGCTCTTTCAATAAACAATTATTGAGAAAAATGAGAAAATCTATTAATTAAAACGTAAAGTCTACTAGGAAGTTTAACCTGAATATATGCATTAATAGACGTAAATGTTATAATGATGATGCATTAATGTAAATTTTAAGACGGTTTTCAAGAATACATCAGTCGTGTTGAAGGATTGGCCGCGCTCTTCGCATGCGTGAAAAGACTGGGACCGGCCTTCAAGTTTGGCTGCAAACATTCTCGAACCCAGAGCCCTTCTTACGCGCGGTGCGACGAGGGGCTCTGGCCAAATCCATATTCCGAACTGGCATCTGATTGGCTAGTTCTAACACCGGATATTGTTTTCTTACCATGTTTTTATGGTATCCGGTTATGGATTTGGCCAGAGCCCCTCGCCGCACCGCGCGTAAGAAGGGCTCTGGGTACGAGAATGGGCTGCAAACTACAATCTCAAACCCTGAGCCTGCAATCCTCTGGGGAGGCTCCACATGGTTAAACTGACACACTGATATACATAACATGTTATAAGAACGGCGTACGTGACTAATATCCCACCCCCTTAGCGTTCCAACAACCAACATCGTACCCAGGAAAGCGTTCCAGCATGGTCTTTCGAGACATGGTCTGAAACTCATTAAACTTCAAAGGCCAAAGCGGTTATAATGAGCTGGGATTTAGTTATGTTGAGCCGTACCTTACACCGTGCATATCCTTTGTTTTGGGTTTATGTACTATTTAAATAGCATGGTTGAATCAACTTGAATGACTGAACTGAAACGTTGCTATTGGATGATTCGTTCATTATACTGAAATACAATGTGTTCTTTGACCGTGCACAAAACTGCATAAACGCGAACAAAAACTTTAGCGAGGTTTCCAAACCATGTTTTGAAAGACTACGTTTATGCTCATTCGACCGCGCGTTAAATAGGGCTCTGGGTACGATATAGCTCTATACAACATGATCTCTTCTCAAAATTAAGGCTATGTCTTAATTGTATAACTTTTGAAAGATTTGGATTGGATTAATAATAATAATAATAATAATGTTCTTATGCGCATTTAAAAATCTCAATGCGCTTACAGTGGCTTAAAACTATTTAAATTTACTGAAATAGTTTATATTTACATTATATATTTGTTAAAATTTAAACTTATATTACAGATAAAATAGATTTAGTGGAACAAAGTATTTTAATATATGATATATTAGCTATAATGTTAGCAAGCATATGCCTCCTTAAACAAATAAGTCTTCAAGGAAGATTTAAATTCTAAAATAGACTCACTCGGCGGATTTAATGTATTCTGGTAAAGAGTTCCAAAGTTCCGGGGCAGCATGAGAAAAAGCACGCTTTCCATATGTCGTGGTGTATATCTTTGGAGTGCAAAGCAGTGAACATCGGGAGGATCAAAGTGTACGTGTAGGACATCTTTCTTCAATAATTTTGTGAAGATAATCTGGAGCCAAGTTATGTAGTGACTTGTAAACTAGGAGAATTATTTTAAAATTTATTCGATATTTAATCGGTAACCAATGTAATTGTTTCAGTACGGGTGTTATATGATCAGATTTCTTTTTCCCTGTAATTAACCGGGCTGCTGCATTCTGGACTCGTTGCAATTTGTCCAGCTCGTACTTGGAGAGTCCATACAATATACTATTTGCATAGTCAAGACGAGAAATTACCAGTGCGTTTACAAGTCGTTTTAGGTCTTCTTTAGACAGATATTTTCTTATCCGGCCAATTGATTTTATGTTTAGAATGGTTTTCTTACACATCTCATTTATATGGCTGGATAAAGTCATGTTCTTGTCAAGTACAGTTCCTAAGTTGACTACTTTATCAGACACTTGGACAATAGTGTTGGCAAATGAGAAATTGGCTTGTAGATTTTGATGCTTTTTAAACCGAGACGAGAGATGAAGAACTTCAGTTTTTCCAGGGTTACAAAGTAGCATATTTCCGGTATTCCACAAGATAACTTCATTTATACAATCGCTAAGCGTCTCATAGGACGTCAATGGATTATTAGGATTTATAGCGACATACAGATTGGAATCATCAGCATAAAACATGAAGTCCAGGTCGTATTTCGATATGACGTCTTCAAGTGGAGCTATGTAGAGTGTAAATAGCAAGGGGCCTAATACTGAACCCTGTGGTACGTCATATTCAAGATGTCTTAATGTGGACACAACATCGCCAATTACAACAGATTGCGAACGTCCAGTGAGATATGATTTAAACCATTTTATTACTGTATCCGAAAATCCAAAATATGATTCAAGTCTTGCCAATAATATATCGTGATCTAAGGTATCGAAAGCTGACGATAGATCCAGCATTACAAGAATGACATCCTGGTGATTGTCAAGGGTTCTTAAGATGTCATTAGTTACTTTCAGTAACGCTGTCTCTGTAGAATGGAATTTTCGATAAGCTGATTGGAAAGAAGGATAAAGGTTATTTGAATTCAGGAAATCTTGTGTTTGAACCGCAACTGTTTTCTCTAAGACTAGGATTAGGGTTAGCGGTTAGGGGTTAGGGGGTTAGGGGTTAGAGGTTAGGGTGGGGGGTTGGGGTTATGTTTAAAATTAAGGCAATGTCTTAATTTGAAACGCTTTATACAATTAAGACATAGCCTTAATTTTCGGAAGAGATCGAGCTGCTCTATAAGGTCTTGTTTCAATGAGCGCTGCGGTACAGCGTAACTGCAGAACCAGCCAGATGACGTGCTCTTCAAAATTCAAATATACTATACTCGGTTTTGTTTTCGTTGCTTATATTTTTGTGCACATTGATGAGGGATACGAAGTGATAAACAAGAACGGTTGTTTCAAAGTGTTCCGCAAACATAAACACGAGGTTCTTGTAGACGTAACTAGAGGACCTTTCGAATGTGCGCTCACAACTCAACTCTTGGCTCTTGCTTGGCTCTGCCCACGCTTGACTTGATATGTCCGCGCGAGTAGCGCGCGCGATTAAACATATATAACGTGTTGCCATTTGAGTACGTTTTGGCGTTCGTATGAAACTGAAATTCAATAAATATGAGCTGTTGGATTATGTTAGACTATAGCAACCGGCAGGGATGAGTAAACTGTTAGTTTTTCTTGTACAATTGGCCACTTTATAGTATAATATATCATATGCGATATGCGGCGACCTTCGAACTTTGATATATAAAGCTCGCTATCGCGGGTTTTTATTTTCTGAATTATTCAACATCGATTTGTGATTCCTCTTTAGTTTCACACGCACAGAAAAATATTTTTGAAATACAAATAAGTACCCAGCATATGCATGGTTCAAACTTTTTGGGGTGGTGATGCTTAATAGCTAGAGTGACATATTTCTCTTAAAACTCTTAAGTGCGCAATAAATATTGTTGTTGAAATATAATATCCTTTCATATAAAGACTCAGACTTGCAATTCAATTCAATTCAAAAACATTTATTTAAACACGATATAAAAATAAGCAGCAAATTGCTGATGTGGTCGTGTGAATAATATTACTTGCGTCGAACATTATGCTCAACAACGAACATATGTACTTATCATATTGTACTTCTGTACATATTATTCTCTCTGTCCCTCGCATATTATTTGAATGCACTACTTACTAGTTGCAAATGATTTGTTAGTCATTGTATGTATATTTGTATTTCATAATATTTTGTTTCACGGTCCTATAATGATCATGGCGTGCGCGAATTCATCACGCGAAAAACGCGTTGGACTTGCCGACACATAAGGTTAATGTGGGTCATTAAAACGCAGATGTTGTCCAGAGTACAGCCAACTTTGGTCCTACAATTAGACTTGTAAGCATTGTAATCAGGAACGATTATTTTACTTTAGTGCAAATTATATGGACATTGCGCGAGACATTTTTGTATTCACAGCAATATTTTCATATCTGTGCCATAATCTAATTGCTACATTGCAGTATAAGACTAAAAGGTTCCGTGATAATATTTTTGTACATATCCATAAATGTTTAGTGTGTCGGCAAGCCGTGTTAATTTCCATTATCACCGCCTATATGTTGTCACGTGACCAGTTTCCATGGAAACCAAATAGTTGAAAAATATCGGCAGTTGATTTCCAACCTCTCACCCAAAAATGAGAGCCATAGTGTACTTTGTTAATTTTTAATTAATTTTTAAAAATATTTCCTATTTTCCCACTCCTAACGAAATTGGAGCCATGCATTAATGCACCTGAGAAATTTGTTATACTTATGAGACACCAGTCTATAACTTACTACTGCCCTGGAGACGAAATTTGCTGCACGCCTGGCAGTCCCACTAGTAAGTGTTGTCCTGCAGATCATCCGATATGCGTCGAATATGCATGTTGTCCTACTGGATATCCAAAAGTTTGTGGCAAGTACTGTTGTGAGAAAGATAGTTATTGCTGTGGAGAGAACAGTGGCGGCTAAAGGCTACACAAGCGTTTTGTCGTTATCGGAAAATGTATGGCTTATAAGTCATCGATCATTAGTGAATGCGCGTATTCACTTTTACAGTTTCACTATTAGTTTGTAAATCTCTGAATGGTAAAACTTGCCAATACTCCAATAATACGTTTCAAAAAAGACAAAAAAGCTTTAGTTTTGTAAAGTTAAATTCTCAAACGTGTAAAGGCCCACACAGACCGGACGCGATTCGGCAACGCGACGCGAATTTCAGTTTTCAAAAACCGTCAACGGATAAAAATTTTACAAGGTATGCAGACCAAATAACTAAAATTGCTAAATGGTCCCGAATATTTGAAAAACAATGAAAAATATTCAAGTTAAATGTCATTGAACACTACAAATTCGCGTCGCGTTGCCAAATAGCGTCCGGTCTGTATGGGCCTTAATTAATAAGGCACTAATAAGATGAAAGTATGACGAAATTATTTGAACAAACCACATCGCATATATGGGGGGCGAATCTCCTAAAGGGGGGGGAGCGATATTC